GCTTTATTTTAGTTTGTGTATTAGATTATTTTAGTTAAGCTGGAGAGTAAATTGTAAAGTAGCTTTGACAGCTCTTCGCATTAGTTTCCTCTGCACACCTCTGCAAGAGGTGTGAAACCGGAACCGCCAGAGGCGAGGTTCAGTATCTTCCAACACCAGGTTATCAAAACAGGGTGTGTGTATTAATCAAAGTTTGCCGCACATAATATTGTATTATCATATGTATCTCTTGAATAACAGTAATACAATTGTAACTCTGTAATTCTAACTGTTTTACCATTTACTTACTATTTCGTTGATTTTAATAAAAAGTCTTTATGACTATATCTGTCTCAGTGTGAGCTTCCTGTCATACCCCCAAAGGTCCCTTTATAAATTCTGTGGAGCCTGATTCCGGACACGAACTCTCCTGGACTGCACCTCTGATCCATCTGCCTCAGTATTCCCCAGTATTTGGCAGGTCCCGACAGAGGGTGGACTCTCGATTTGCTACGAGGCATGGAGGGAAGAGAGGGAACATACCTCCATCCCTCTATTATTTACTTGGGACTTATTGAACTAAGTGTTAAAAACTGGTTAAGGGGTGTTATTTCCTGTTGTTTCTGTGAAGAGACACCTTCAGTTTCAGAGTAAAGTATTTATTCTAGTTTATTGATTAAGTTAGTAAAGTTGTAGAATTGAAATGAGTTCTCTATTTCGTGTTAAGAGCAGAGCAAGGGCAACAGTAGAGTCGGTTGGAGTTGCCCGCAGTCTGGCTTTAGAAAACTTTGCCAAGAAATATATTCAGGAACATGGAGGAGGTTTAGAACAACTGAGGAATAGTGAGATGATTTCTGAGCATGGTAACACAGGGGGTTTTATAAGTGAGGTATTTCATGTGGAAAGAGAGCAGAAAATGAAAAGGGCTAAACTGGTAAAGGAAATAGGTGTTGAATACCTGCTCGTGGCTTGTAGTTCACTGGGAAAAAATTGAATAAAAAAGGAGATGTACTCAGGGAAGCTCAGCAAATGCTAGTGGCGTATAGATGAGACCGTGGTCGGCTGTTGGAAAGAATTAGAGAATTAGAAAAGAAAGAAGGTGTGGTAGAGGAGGATAAAGAATCGATTCCCATCCCTATCGGTATGGTGGAATTGAAGGAGGTAGAAAAACCTACAGGGCCAATAGCTAGAAATAGGGTAAGAGAATTAGCTCAGGCTGACACAGTACCTTTAGGAGCGGAGTTGGAGATTGAGTCTGAAGAGCCACAAGGAGAGTCAGAAGAGGTTGTTGGCAGTGCAGAAGCTACCAGCAGTCTGCAAGTAGGAAAAGGAAGTGCTAATGTAGCACCACAGGAGGCGGAGATGAGTGTCATAGAAAAGGCGACTAGTGATGCAAAGGAGGAGATGAGCAAACCAAAGGGGGAGGAAAAATCCTCTCCTCTGTTAGTGCCAGCCCCTAATAGTGAAGAGGCAGTGCCTTTAGAGACTGTCATTGTTTAGGGATTAGAAGATGCAGTGTCACAAGTGACACGAGTAGCTAGTGCCTGTGATGTAGTAATCTCTAAGGCCTTGGCTACACTTGCGAGTTACAGCGCTGTAAAGCCTCCCCCAACACTGTAACTCACTCCCCGTCCACACTGACAAGGCACTTACAGCGCTGTATCTCCATGGCTGCAGCGCTGCATTTACTCCACCTCCCCGAGAGGAATACCGTGTATTGCGCCGCCGCTGCGCAGCGCTGTGGTGCAAGTGTGGCCGCCCAATGCGCTGTGACTGTTCTAGCCACTCTGGTCATCAGTTCAAACTCTACTGCCCTGGCCTCAGGTAATCAACCATGTGGCCCAGCCTTAAAATTCCCTAGGAATTTTAAAAATCCCCTTCCTGTTTGCTCAGCCTGGTGTGGCGTGGAGTGCTATCAGCGAATCTTTCCAGGTGACCATGCCTCCACGCGCCAAGCGAGCCCCAGCATGGAGCAATGGCGAGTGTTTGGGGGGAGGAAGCTGTCCAGTCCCAGCTGCGCTCCAGCCGTTGGAATTACGATACCTTCGGGAAGGTATCAAAGGACATGATGGAAAGGGGCCATGACCGGGACGCCCTGCAGTGTAGGATTAAAGTGAAGGAGCTGCGGAGTGCCTACCGCAAAGCCCACGACGCAAACAGCTGCTTGGGTGCTCCCCTTGCGACCTGCCGATTCTACAAAGAGCTGGATGTGATACTTGGGGTTAACCCCACCTCCACTCCGAGCACCACCATGGACACTTCAGAGCTGGGGTGGGAGGAGGAGGAGGAAAACGGGAGTGAGGGTGGTGGGCCGGATGGAGACACCCGGAATCCCTGGATCCATGCAGCCAGGAGCTCTTCTCGAGCCAGGAGGAAGGTAGCCAGGCGCAGCAGCCGGTACTTGGTGGAGAACAAACAGAAGAGCAGGTTCCCGGTAAGCGAGTTTTTTTCCAGGAAGGAATTTTTTCGGTGCGGGCTCTTTGGGAGAGGAGGCTTAGGCATGCATGCCTAGATGCAGAATGGTGCACTGATGTGGTTAATCACATCGCGGTAATCGGCCTCGGTAATCTCTTCGAATGTCTCATCCATAACGTGTGCAATGCGCTTATGCAGGTTTATTGGGAGAGCCACCGTGGTCCTTGTCCCAGCCAAGCTAACATGTCCGCGCCACTGTACCGCGAGGGGCGGGGGGACCATTGCTGCACACAGGCAAGCTGCATATGGGCCAGGGCGGAAGCCGCATTGCAGTAGAAGACCCTCCCTTGCTTCCCAGGTCACCCTCAGCAGTGAGATATCGTCCAGGATGAACTTGTGTGGAAAATGTTGGGACAATGTTCAGTGTAGGTGCCCCCTGCAGCTGTTGGCTCTCCCCAAGGCACAGAAACCCAGAGGACAGTACAGCCGTGAAACAATCAGTCCCCCTTACTCACCATTTTGAGGTTCCCGTGGGTTATGTGTGCTCTGTTTGGTACGGGAAAATTATGCTATTGTGTAGACCCTGTGTGCGCCCTCCTTAAGTGCGGGGGAAATCATTACTCTGTCTGGTATAAACAATGCTGCCTCTGTTAAATGTTGCATTTTGCCTATACAGCTGCAACAACCTTGAGACCTCAGCTGTCCCTCTTATTGCCTGCTCAGAGACTGCAAAGACTCAGGAAGAGACCACGAAAAACCAAAGAAGACATGCTGCAAGAAGTGATACAGCAATCTATTAAAGAGAATGAAAAAGCAAGGAACTGGAGGGAGAGAGAAAGCAGGAGCTGCCAGGAAAACGCAGCACACCGGTGGCAAAGCACGGAGCACCGGCAGCAAAGCCCGGATCAGCTCATAAGCATCCTGGAGCGCCAAGCAGATGCTATCCAGGAGCTCGTAGCCATGCAGAAGGAGCAGTACCGTAAACACAAACGCCCCCCCTCCCCCTACAGCCCTTGTCCCAAAACTCTTTCCCTTGTGCCCCACTGTTATCTCCAACCCACTTTCCCCTACTTCTGGGTTCTTCACTCCACCAGCTGCCTCCAACACCAGTATCTTCACCACCCAGCCCTGAAAACGACGACCCTTCCCTCTGCACTCAACCCCCATCACCATGCAGTATAGCTGCCCTGAAGTGCAGCACTCACTGCACAGCACACCAGATAGGACATACGCGAATCTGTGATTGTACCGTTCCCCACCCCACCCCCTTGCCCTTTCTGATTCCCAAGCAGTTGTGTTTCTTTTCAATAAATAAATTTTCTTTTCAATAAATGGA